CATGGCAATCAACAAGGATTTTTGTCAGGATAAAACCAGCTCTCACTAATTCCACAGTCTATCAGGTAACCCAGAGCCCACCCAGGGGTTTTAGGTGACACCCAAGTGCCAGTGACAACCCGTGACAATCATGGCTATCAGGACTTTTCCCACGAGCACAGTCCATATTCCCATTTCCTCGAGCTAGAGATGATTATGGACACGAGCCTGCAAAGAGCCTTTTGCCACAACTGCTCTATTCTTTCCTTCCCAGTCAGATGGTGGGATATTTTTTTTGAGTGCCCCTCCTGCAAATTGCCAGGAATAACTGTTGCCTCCCCCCCAACGGAGCTCCAGCCCCGGGAAAACAGCCCTGCAGGTTCCTCTGAGGTGACAGCAGGTCTTGCCAACTTCAAAGGGGACTCGAGGCTTTTAGTGAGGGCTGTTTGTTGATTTTTTCCCCAGTGAAGTGATATTACATGGCATTTCCAACCCTCAATCCTATTAAGCGACAGAACTACCTAATAGCGCTCATTAAATAACAGAACTTGGTGTCAGAAATTCACTGACAGGCCCCTGCGATTGAAGTGGGGGATTTATGCCCTCAAACAATATGGGTTTGGTGTTATTGTGACTGGGTTGTTTTAATAAATGTAATTTATTTTAACGGGTGAAAGCAAAAAAAAGCCAGGACAGTTCATGAGCAGGTTATCACTGATGCCATAAGTGAGCGGTGAGTGCCTGAATTTTACATTTAGAGGGAAGAAAGCACTAAAAGCATGTTCATTGCTGCTCAACTGCTTCATTATTTGGAGATCATTTCTTTGGTGGCACCACCGAAGGAGAAAAAAGGGATCTACACCAGTCTCAAACATTTCTTTGGTGACACCACTGAAGGAGAAAAAAGGGATCTACACCAGTCTCAACAAGCAGTGACAGTGACACACCTGAGGGGCAGCTAAACCCCAGGGGCTGGTTTGTCCCTCAGCCATGGTCTCATCCTTCCCTTCCCAGAGCTGCTCCAGCCTTGTCTGCCCATGCAGGGCACTGATCCAACTCACCACACTGGTGGGAGCCCAACCAGGAGGGAATAATAACCCCCCGGGCTCAGGTGAGCCCCAGGGCTGATGGGAAGCAGGGGCTGTGCTGCACCCTGAGGAAGCAGGGAATTGCAGAGTTCCTGAGGATGGAAAGGAGCAGCCAAAACCTCTCACTCCCATCCCACTTCCCCATGGAAACCGTGGAAGGCACCTGGGACAGACGGTCACGTTTTCTGTCGTGGTAACAAGGCTGTCAGTGGGGTGTCCACAACAGGTTCAAACTGAAGAATGCCATGGAGGAGGAGCCAGGACCTGGCAAAGGACTGTCTCCACACATCCTGCGTGGGAACAGGAGCAGTTTGGCACAGCCAAGCCCGTCCCAGGTAAGCACAGGAGCAGAGCTGAGCTGCTCCAGCAGCTCCAGGCTGCCCAAAGGTCCATCCCACAGCCCCCTCTTTCCTCTCTTCCAACAGCACTTCCCATCACACAGCCCAGTTTTACCTTTTCCCAGCCCTTCACTGAGCACACTGAACCTCCACAAATCTTCATTTCCAGGAGTCCAAGTGCCAGAGCAGCACAGGGGACATGGTGGGGGGTGAAGGAGAGGAACCTTCCAGAATCACGGAATAATTCAGGTATAAAGGAACTTCTGGAGGTTCAAGTTCAGGACAGTGACTCCCTGCCTTGGCTCTGCTGGCTCAGGCAGAGCAGGCAAACCAGCCTTCTGGCCCTGGCATCAAAACCCCAACTCTCACAACTGCCCAGTGACATTTGATATTTTTTTATGGAACGTGAATGCTGTTGCAAAAACTACTTCTTTTTGTACCCTAAAGGAACGAAAATAAGAAAATCTTCCTGGAAATGACAATTAGCAGTTAAATCCCTGACTATAACATTTTGACTGAAGGCAGAATGCTCCAAGGAATAATAAAACAATGCAGTGAATATTTGGGCAGCAGGAAGAGTTTGGAGATGTTTATTTACCATATAGTTGTTCCTACTAGACAGAAAGGTTCCTAAAATCCCATATAAAGAGCTCTGATTATTAATAGTCATGAAATGATATTTCCAACCTGTTTGTAAATGGTTTAAAGGAAATCACAAATGCATAAAAAACAAACCCAAGTTTACAGTATAACGGCAGAGAGCTAAATTGGTTATTTCAGTAAGCAATACGTTCTGTGGAACTGAGCTGAGGACATCTGCCATCATTTTACCTGGAAAGAAAATCAAAGTGGGAAGGGGAGGAAAGATTTTTAGCCTTCCATTTTTTTTTTTTTTGCAAAAGCCAAACAAAAAGGGCAAAACATATATTGTATTACCCTGTTGTACATATGGACAAGTAGTTTCAGCAACACACACGATGATTTCACGGCGTGCTTTGAAAAGTTTCAATAATGGCTTGGGAAATATGGGAAAGTAATTTATAACACCACATAAAAAAGTAATAGAGGGCCCAATCCTGTCCCCACTAACTTAAACTGGGCAGAGTGGAGCTTCCAGGATGGATTTAGAACCTTTTTCAACAGCCTAGTTCAGATATGAGCAAAGCCCAGCCTGGCTGGCTCCCACCACAGCACACTTGCTCAATTAGTCTCCCCTTCATTATAATTTAAAATAAAAATATTATCCATGTGTTGAGCATTTGTCTGTTTGGATGCTGTTGGCCTTTTCTGTGTCATCCTGACAGCTCTGAGCCCTCTGGCCAGCCAGAGGTGCAGCCCAGGCAGACACACCGAGGCAGAGCCTCCCACCCTCACCAGCAGCTCGGAAACCACCAGGGTTTGGTGAACTCCTGATTTTCTGCATAATTCTGCCACAAAAACCAGGGTCTCCTCCACAGTCAGAGGGCAATTCTGGAAATGCAAAGGGAGTTAAGTTTCCAGAGACCTTTGTGAGCTGTGAGAAGCGTTTTCCCTTTGTTTGCACAGTGAGAAAGATGCCGAGGATGAATATCTGGACTGAAGGCAGATATTGGGGGCCCAGCCATCCTCCCCACCAGTAACATCTGAAGATGGGACATTGCCCAAGGTGAACCTGCCCCAGAGAGCCCTTCCTTTCCTCACCCCATCACCATTGCAGCTTGAGGTGCTGCTGGAAACACCAAACCTCTGCATGTGGCACATGAGATCCCAACCATCATCCTGCAAACCTGCTGTGTGTTCACAAGATGCTGCTAATTAGTCCAAGATTCTGGTGTAATTTATTTAAAAAGGATAAAAAACCAAACCAAACCAAAACCAAACAAATAATCAGTTACTCTTTGTCATGGAATCTCCCTGGCCCAGCCTGTACCAGGACACACATCCTCTGGATTCTCTGGGACACACCCAGCATGCTCAGATCCAATCACACCATGTCATGCACTGGGGAGGTCAGTGCAGGAAATACAAGGGCAGTGATCCAGGGTTCTCATTCACCCTCTGCTTGTCTCACAGTATTCCCAGGAGAATTTCTGCAGCAAGTGTCTAAAATATTTTCATTTCTGTCAACTGATGCCACTTTTGAACTGAGAACTCGAAGCCGTACAAAGACAGGAGGAGTCCCCTGGCCTTCCTCCCCCAGAGCCAACTTCCCCCTCACCACCACTGTGTAAAACCCTACAATTCAGCCCAAATAAACCACAGCCTCTAAAACACCAAGTGGTTCCTTCTGATCTCCTAGTTCAGGTTTAAATGTAGTGCTGGCTCCAAGCTCAGCTCTACTGCCAATGCCTCTATCAGTTCCTGGTAGTTCTTCACATTTCCAGGACAGCTCATCAAGTTAATCCAGTTTTGTCTCTTCCTTCCATTTTGGTGTTATCCACAAACACTAAAACTTTTCCTATTCAATTCTCTTGCTGCTCTTGAAGGGCTGAAACAACGTGGTGAAAAGGTTCCACCACAGTACAGTTGGATTCCAGGAGGAAACTATTATTATTCCTTGTGCTTTTTATGACCTTGCTGCCATTTCCTAGCCATAAGCTGGAAATGTTAAATTATAAAAAATACAATATTAATCAACCAATTGAGTTGCCAGTTCTAATTTTGGATAGAAAACTGGACAGAGAAATAATCAAAGACTCACCAAAAAAGCAGATGGCTGGAGAGCACTTCTGGCACTCACACGACTCACACATGGGACCACTCGAGTTTAACAAATTGGACAACAGAGAGAGCACTGAAATGGAAATTGGGGCTCTGCTCCACTCAAATTCTTCAGAATGTTTGTTTTGGATTTGTACCTCTCTGCAATTTACAGCTCCAGATTAGATACAGCAAGAGCAATATTCCTGACTAGGAGGAAAACAGAATGGCCAAATCACACACACACATTGTCTCCCTGTGTACAAACAACACCAACACAGAAATGGTTTCCTAAATAAAGCCCAGTACTAAACATGGCTTTTCCTAACGCGGCAATAAAGTTGCACAAGACATTTCCGTGAGTCAAACTGCAAAACTTCTCCAAGCAAAGCCCATCTTGGCATGGGAACAGCATGGAAAAGAAACCAGAGCAACCTGAGATGTCCCAGTGATCTCCAGGCAGCAGAGACCTCCCACTGCAAGTGAGAATCCACCCCCAGACACACTGTTAATGAATTAAATGGAATTTGTTTCTACCATTAACCAGTTTTTAGACCACTGGGCACAGGTCAATACTTCTTATTTTGATCAGGAAGGTAAAAAAAAAATCACTAAACCAATGTCAGCTGTATCAATACAAAGACACACAGGTAGGAGATGGCACCAAAAAAGGAAGAAAAAAGACTGATTCTCTTCTGTAAGAACTCAGTTGCCTCAGTGTTCAACAGGGTGAAGGTCCTTCTCAGTGAGGTGCCAGGGAAATGTGGGGCCAAATATGACATCACCCACCCCAACCAAAAAGTGGAGATGAAAGTTGTGCTGGTCTCAGGGACCAGTCACTCACCAGGGAGCCGCTGCTTTTCTGGGCACGCCTTCCCGAAGGATCCAAAAATAACACTTTTCCATGGAGCAGAGATTCCTGTAGTGCTCCTGCTTTTCCTTCCAGCAATGTTGCAATCCAGCGTGCCAGCCCTGGGTGATGAGGTCATCTGACAGTGTAATTTGTAGTATTTTACTCTGTCAAAACTGATCTTCGGATTTCTATGGCAACGAGATCCAAACAGAAGATGGAGCAGACGGAATGAGTCTCTCCCTGCCACCACCCAGATTTTTATATAAATATATATGTATATATATAAAGCATTACACATATATATATAAAGTTAACGTTCATGATTCATCATTAAATTATGTTAGAAAACTGGCACTGGAGAAATAACAGCACAGAGGGATAATATTAAACAAAAAAAAGGGTAATAAATGTGTAAACTGACATCAATAAAAGATTAAAAAAAGGTAATTGTTCAACTCTCAAGCACCTGGAAACAGAGTATGTCTTTCCCATTAAATCCAGGAAAGGCATATCCTAACCATTCCTGGTCGGGATGGAGGGAAGGGAATACTGGCTCTGCTGCCATGAGGTGAAGAACATGATACCTTCCCCCCCGAGAAAATCAGCCTTCAGCTACTGCTGGTAACATGTTCCTGCTTAGGAGAGCCTAACTGCTACTAAGCTTGGCTTTAGAAGTTCTTGTGCAACAGTCTTGCACATCTGTCAATTTATTTTAGTGTCCTGGTAGGAGCTGAGCTGGGTCCAGACACTGTGAATACAAAACATCCAGGAACACTCTGGATGTGGAACCCAATCCCATTTCCAGTCAACTCCTGGGACTGACAGCAACACCACCCAGCCCCTCTCTTTGAAACCAAGACTGGGCTGTTCAAAAGGTGGGATAAAAAGCTTGATTTTCCTACAGATCACTTCTCCTTAACATCAGAGAGGCTTCTGAGCACTTCCCGGGAGAGCTCAGTGAGGTCCTGAACACACTGTCTAACATTCCATGCAAATCCCAGAATAGCCAGACGGGTCTAACTTGGGCTTTAAGGAGAGGATGAACCTCTCCTAACCCGTGGCAAGTCCCTGCCTCCAGAAATCTGCACAGTGTCCAAGAACAATTTCCTGCCTCCTGTGCAGTGTCACTGTACAGCCCCCAGGATAAAAACATGGGAGAGCTTTGGGCACATCCCTGAAGTGGGTGGGAGGGAATTCCTGAGAGGGTGCTCCAGCTGGGAAGAGGGTGGTACAGGGTGATACACTCACTGTTGTTGTGCTGGATCCCTGCAGGTCCAGCTGTGGGTTTGCTGCTGGTTGCCATCCATGGAGGCCACCATGTGCCTGCTTCCCAAGCATCCTGGATCAGCCATGGGATGGGACTGTGGCTGGAATTCATCCTCAAGGCCAACTGCTACTGCCTGTTAAGAAAAAGAGAGAATGTTAAGTTAGAGAAATACTGGTCATTCAAATTAAAAAACCCTCTCAAAAGCAGGATACTTCTTTGATCACAAGCTCTCCTGCTGGAAAACAGAATTTCCCCATCAGTTTATGTACGATGAACAAAAAATTCCTGGTGAACCCAGGAATAAAATGGTGTGCAGGCACAACTGGAAGCACAGGAATGTTTCCACAGCTTACTCACCCTCCTAAAATTAAACACACTCAAGTCTCTCACCTGAGTAAAGACCCTGATGCCACAAAGAACATCTACTCTGTGAGAATCCCTTGAGTAATGACAGTGAATTCAACCCTGGAGGAAGCTGAAATAGGGATTACACTGAATTCAGATGCTTCTGTAACAACTTCTGTCTATGGTTGGTCTTGTAATATTGGCATATCTTACAACTGACACGGACCTTGGTGTGTCCTCAGATGAATAGATTCATAAAACTGTACACAATGAGCTGCTACCACTTTTTAACTTCAAAAAAAAATCCTTGCTCTGTTGCTGCAGCAGGAGAGGCAAAATGCTTCTTTAGGCAAGAGTGTTTAAGAAGTACAAAATTAAATGAAACTGTGGATTTCTTCCTCATTATCACCAGTTTGTGACTGTCAGAGAAGATGTACCTTTTCCATGTGAAACCCCCCATCACCCCTTCCAATAAAGGCAATCAACACTGAACTTAAAAGTTCCTGTCTGCATCCAGTTTGCAGGCTTTGAAACGGAGCCCTGCACGAGGCACATCAGAAACACGGGAGGAAATTGGAGATAAAAAAAAAAAAGATTTTAAAATAAACCCAGCCTTTACGCCTCCCAGATGGGAAGTTTGGAGCGGTGAGGGCAGGAAACGGCCGGGTATTTAAGCTGATTACCCAAGCAAAGCCCTCTCTGCCTTTTCAGCAGCGCCATCGGAATTAATTGGAGTGCGGAGCAGGGGGAGATGTCAGGAGCGGGGGGAGATGTCAGGAGCGGTGCAGGGTGTTAGTGATGGCTGGCTGGAGAGGGCTGGGGCTGTTAATTGGGGCTCAGGGCCCCGCTGGCTCTCCCAGCCCAGGTGGCCGCGCTGGCCGCGCTGTCGGGGCCGCTCAGCGCCCGCTCGGCTGCGCCGGGACGGGGCACGGGCCCGGGCATCCCCCCGGCTCGCCCAGCCCAGCAACCCGGGAACCAGCCGGGATCTTCACGTTTGTCCCAGGAATTCACACCAGTAAAAGTGTTCTGGGCCGCGCTGCCCTCGTGGACACGGATCTGATGGTGCTTTTGGCCTCATTACCGGGGCTCTGCTCTCTCTGCTCCCCCCTCCCGGGCTCTGCTCCCAGGGGTGTTCCCATCCACGCAAAAATCACAGCTCCCCGCTCACCCTTGCACCCAACCGAGGAGACAAATAATATTATCATCGAGGGAAGAGCCAGAATTAGAAAGGAAATACTGCAACGTTTAGATTTAATCTGGTGAGCGTTGGATGCTGATTCGCTCTGACGTTAAAGCTCAAGAGCACGTTTAGCCAGGGCAAAATGCATTACTGTGTTTTACATGAGAAGGAAATAAGTCTGATGTTTCACGGGCTGCATTATTTGCTGTTGAAATCCTAATGACTGCCCACAATCTACACCTACACTGAGCCTAATGAATTGGGTTTAAATTTCACAAAGCTTCAGCAACAAATTAGTTGATCGTCCTTGCTTCTGGCTCTCCAACAAAGAGGAGTTTTGTAGTAGAAAAGAAGAGAAAACTGACAATAAATTAAAAAAGAAGGATGTTTCAAATGTAACACTTCGTTTCTCTTCACTGCATTTCACGGCAGTACTTTTAAAATAAGCATCTTTTTTTTAAAAAAATATTTTTTTAACAGGTAAACGCTCAAACACCATAAGCAGGATTGGTATCGCTGGTTTTCAAGATCCACAGTTAATTAGCCACAGGCAAATATGGAGCAAGGCTTCTCAAAGGCTTTCACCTGCTCAAGTCTCAGGAAGTTCTGATTTGCCAAATAAAACACTGAACTGATGCTCCACATGAAACAGAGGCTGAATCAACACGAGTTCTACAAGTGGCTTAACCCAACCTTCTGCTTTCTTCTCACTCACATCCACAAGGTGCCATCGCTTCCCTCCCACCACCTCCTGCTTTTTGATGGCCACAGGAATTAAACCCCTGGTGATTCTCTCTGCCATCAGCTGGCAAAGTGGGTCCCTTGGGATGGCAGTGCAGCCCCTCCCTGGGTAACAGCCCTGGAATGGCAGGCTCCACACAGACCTTCCCATGGAATACATCCAGGCCCAGTGTGTTTTCCAGCCATGGCTCTCCATCAGCATTCCCAGTGCTCTCCCAACAGGCCAGAGCACACTCCATTTCACACACTCATGGAATAATTTGGGTTGGAAGGGACCTTTAAAAGGCCACCCAGTCCCACCCCCCTGCCATGGGCAGGGACACCTTCCACTAGACCCCATCCAACAATCCCCATCCAACCTGGCCTTGGACACTTCCAGGGATGGGGCAGCCACAGCTTCTCTGGGCACCCTGTGCCAGTATTTTACCACCCCCAGAGTAAAAGCTTCCTTCTGATAATTAACCTAAGAACTGCACCTCTGTGCAACTCATAGGAGGAATTTAGAGTTGAGATGGGAGGCACAACGTGTGGCTGTGCCTTCCTCAGCCCAGGGCATCCCAATAAACCCCCACAACAGGGTTTCCAGCTTAACTTGGGTTTTACTTGGACTTGTGTTCACCTAAACACATTTCCTTCATGCAGCAACAGGAATGAATGTATCTAAAAAGAAACCAGACACATAAAACAAGCTGCTAACTCCTCCTCACATGTGCACACATGATGCCAATTCCCAGAAGCTGCTGACTCCATGAATTCAGTTCTACAAACCCAACAGAGGCTTGCAGGGCCTGTAACTATCTGCAATTTCAAGGCAGAGAAATGTTATGTAAACTCCAATTTTGCAACATTATTGCTGTGTGTTATTTCATGCCAAGTCGCTTTTTACATGGAAAGCAAACATCGTTCAATTTGTTTTTGTTTTTTTTTTAAAAAGCAAAATAAAGTTTACAGTTCTGCTTGGCCTCACGTCTGTTTATAAACAGGGGAGCAGCCTGAGCCTCCTCACAATGGGCATGGCAGGAAAAAACCCTCCTCGAGCTGAACAGGAGCCAACAGTGGGTTCTCAGCAAGAGAGGGGCTCCATCTGAGCGTGGCCCCGGGGTCTGGTGGGGAGATGGGGATTTAACACCAGCTTATCTAAGAGCAGACAGCAATAATTCCCTTACTTGAAGGGAAATTATAGTGATGACAGACCCAAACTTCTCATTTGAGACAGAGAGAAGAAGGGCAATGTCACAGCCTGTGTCTTGGCAGGCTCAGAGCAGAGATCAGGAGAAGCTTTTCCAGCAGGAAGGTGGTGCAGCCCCAGGACAGGTCCCACAGAGGCAGAAGGCTGCAGTTCCTGGAGGTGTTTCGTGCCAAACATTTGACATTTTGGCACTTTCAGTGATAAAGTACGTCGGGAAAAAGTTCTTGACAAGGCACTGGAGGAACCACAGATGTTTGGCCCTTCTCAAAAGCATCTGTTCATCTTTTTTAAACACCCAAACACCTTTAAAACCCATAAACTGCCTAATTGCTATGGCTCCTCACTCTGTACCCCTGGAATATCAGACCGTTTTCAGGTTCCATTCCCTTATTCTGGCAGGTTATTCCCTATGGATGCAGACTTAGGAGAAGTGCAGGATCTGTTCATGTAACTTCCATCACAAGAGCAAACTCCACATATTTGAAAAGATTATCAGTCAACTACAGTTCTTTCCACTGTAGAAACAGTAACTCAGTTAAGATAAACAAAGAAATTCCCATGCACTGAAAAGGAAAACCTATTAACTGATTAAACATGTGAATCAGTTGATAAACTGGTTATCAAAGTTCTGAAAACATTTTTAACAATGACCCTTCCTGCCATGTTTAACAATGACCCATAAAAGCTAGAATAATTCAGGCCTTTGCAGGAAACCAGCTGGAGAGAAAACAGAAAGGATTTCTGACCCAAGAAGCTGCAGCTACACCATCTGAGCTGACAAATCTAGACACTAATTCTGAGGGAAGTAGTGACAGACGTTTTAAATAGCAATTAAAAGTTTTGAACAAGGTTTTTTTTCAAAGGTTTCTAACTCTTTTCAGCACACAGAAAAAATTGCCAGCTTTATCCCATCTGATGGATGTTTGCAGCTCAGGCTTTTCAGGTGAAAACCCCAAACACTCCTTAATTTTCAGGACAAGTTGAAGATCTGGAAGCAGAATAGGAATGCAAATCTCTGGGATTTATTTACAGCTGGTCATGCAGATCCCATCTCAGCAAAAACTCCACCTCAAAACTATTTGCGGTCATGCAAAAGCAGAACGTGGCACAGGCTAATAACCAGATTTCACTTGATGGAGAATCAGATTTTACTCCTTAGGACAGTTAGAAAAACAAGTGAGTGGAAAAAACTGATAGAGCTGGTCCTTGGGATGGCTGAAAACTCCTTTTAGACAAGTCCAGAGCCACAGAAGAGCTCAGAGCAAGCAAAAATTTGGGTGCCAGATGAAGGTCCAACATCCCAACTGTTCACATGTAAAGCGTGGACAGGACCTGCTGTATTTAAACAAAGTGCCAGCCATGAACTCCAGGTGGAGACTTACATTTTCCCAAAATTCAGAGAAATATTCAGACCTGAGACACTTTTCAGACCATTCTACACCAGTGCCTGACATCAGTTCCCCTTCCTCATAATCTTTGTATCAGCCACATTAACTAAAATACATCCAATTCCAACCCCTGCATGGCTTCATGGCAGCGAAATTGTTCACAGCTTTCTTTTTCTTGATCAGAAAAGTCTGTCTGGATAAAAGGCAACATCACAAGTCAGAGAAATCTTGGAATTCAAGATATTTCCACCAGGGTCTTGGGCACCAAGTTAGCCAAGATTTTGACAGAA